CCTTGCAAATAAATAAAATAAATCTTTAAAAATTAATATGGTAACATAAAAGTCCTCATAGAGCCAAGGGAATTTTAAACAAACAAACAAGCAAAAACAAATCCAGAGGCATCACAATACCAGATGGCAAGACATACTACAAGCCTATGAGAATGAAAGAAATATTATCATACTGCTTAGAAATAGATCCATGGAACAGAATAGAAGCCTCAGAAACAAATTCACACATATCTTTAACAAACATAATAAATGAATGCCCTGGGGAAAGGATAAATGTCTTAAAGAAATGGTGTTGGGAAAATGAGGTTTGCACATGCAGAAATTTGAACAAAGACTCTTATCTTACATATACCCTCAAAATGGATCAAGGATCTAAACTTAAGTCCTGAAACTGTAAAACTACTAGAGGAAAACATAGGAGAACAAGGGCAAGACTGAGATTGGGGAATGACTTTTTGTGTAAGACTTTTTGTGTAATACTCAGGTAAATAAAAGTAAAAATAGACAAATGAGATCTTATGAAGGTAACATGCTTCTGTACAGCAAAGAAACAACACAGTGAAGAGACAATTGACAGAATGGGAGAAAATAAAGGAAAATAAAAGCAGCAATGAACAATTATCTCACAAGTTAGAACAACCATTACCAGAAAATTATAGCATTTCAATAGTTAGCCCAACTTCACATTGAATATACTGTACCTTTGAAGTGTAGAATATGTCATCTCTCTTCACAGTGCCATCTGCAATCTTGCTTCGGATGGCCAGACCTACTTCCTCTTCATTTCGGTACGCATAAGCAGCATCAATGTGGCGGTAACCAACATCTATAGCTATTTTGGTGGCCTCCCCAGCCTTACTTTTAGGAACCTAAATAGGCAGAAATTTGAAAACCCAAGTGATTTGAAATAGCTCAGACATTATCGATGACTTTCACAAAAATGTATTTTCCTCATGTCTTAGGAAAATTAATTTTTCATTATAGGGAATGAAGGCAATCCTATTTGCCCAGACCTTCCTAATTAATAGCAAGAGTTAGGCTGTTCAGGAACCTCTTCACACCAGGCAACTTAAATGCTGTCAAAGGTGTCACTGGTGTCCAAAGGTACTCAGGAACTATGCCATTTTTTTTTTTTTTTTGACAGGCAGAGTGGACAGTGAGAGAGAGAGACAGAGAGAAAGGTCTTCCTTTGCTGTTGGTTCACCCTCCAATGGCCGCCATGGCTGGCGTGCTGCGGCCCGCGCACGATGCTGATCAAGGCAGGAGCCAGGTGCTTCTCCTGGTCCCCCATGCGGGTGCAGGGCCCAAACACTTGGGCCATCCTCCACTGTACTCCCTGGCCACAGCAGAGAGCTGGCCTGGAAGAGGGGCAACCGGGACAGAATCCTGCGCCCCGACCGGGACTAGAACCCGGTGTGCCGGCGCTGCTAGTTGGAGGATTAGCCTAGTGAGCCGCGGCGCCGGCCCGCCAGTTTTTTTATTTGATGGAATAGTTCAAGTGACACAGCAAAAAGTTAGTAGCAAAATTGTCATTTGTATAGAGAGCTCACAAAGGAAATTAACATGGGAAAATTGAATGGAATGAGAAATGGAGAAAATACAGTGCAAGCTTCCATGAGTCCTCTAAATAAACAGAATATATTAAATTGTGTCAGAACTGAATTTAACGACCTTTGAAAACTTATCTGTGAAGAAAGCAGCTTATTTAGAGTCTCCATTATTAAGATTTTTATTGATATTTGGTTACATACATCCTGTCTGCTATACCACACACATATTCCATTCTTTCAAATAAAAGTTTGAAAATAGACAGTTCAATGGACAGCAGGATGTTAATTCAGATGTACATATCCATTTTGTCTGCCTCAACCAAATAGGCTAACTAAAAATACTAGCCACACACACACACACACACACACACACAACGTGTATGTATTTTCTTTATTTTTTAAAAAATATTTATTTATTTGAAAGAGTTACACAGAGAGAGAAGGAGAGGTGGCGGGGGGGGGGGTGGGGGGTGGATCTTCCATCCTCTGGTTCACTCGACAGTTGGCTGCAACGGCCAGAGCTGCACCAATCCGAAGCCAGGTGCAAGGAGTTTCTTCCAGGTTTCCCATGTGGGTGCAGGGGCCCAAGGACTTGGGCCATCTTCTGCTGATTTCCAAGGCCATAGCAGAGAGCTGGATTGGAAGTGGTGCTACCGGGACTTGAACCAGCTCCCATATGGGATGCTGGCACTGAAAGTGGCGGCTTTAACTGCTATGCTACAGGGCCGGCCACTGTGTATGTAATTCTTTCTCTCTCTCTCTCTCTCTCTCTCTCTCTTTAATTCATTTGAAAGACAAAGATACAGTGAGAGTTAGAGACAGAGAGAGAGAGGTCTTCCATCCCATGGTTCACACCCCAAATGGCCGCAACAGCTGGAGCTGCACGGATCCGAAGCCAGGAGCCATGAGCTTCTTCTGGGTCTCCCAAGCGTTGCAGGGGCCCATGGACTTGGGACATCATCCACTGCTATCCTAGACCATAGCAGATAGCTGGATTGGAAGAGGAGCAGCCAGGACTAGAAACGGTGCCCATATGGATTGCCAGTAGTTCAGACCAGGGCTTTAACCTGCTGCACCATGGCACTGGCCCCCTGTGTATGTATTTTCACACAAGAAATTTATTGCATCATATAAATGATTATTAACATCATTTCACTTCTTAAAATAGCTCTTTTATTTTCAAAAAGATATACGTAGTTAAATTTTAAATTATCAGCATTTAAAAATTGTGTAAAGATTTGAAAGTATTTGGTAAAGGATAAACAGACAAATGGAACAAAAACTTTTCCATTTATTTGAAGAATTTGAGAGGATCCCTTTATTCAATGAAATAACAATGAAGCAGACAGTAGATCCTACTACCCTATGCTGACAGCAGCCTTCTGCTTCTCATAGATGTGAGGACACTCACTCATTTACCATGACCAAGACTTTATCTGGTGTCCTTGATCCTTTATTCTCCTTCACGTTACTTCACTTTGAAAAATGAGTATGGGCCGGCACTGTGGATAAAGCCACTACCTCTGATGCCAGCATCCCATATGGGCACCACTTTCCATTGCAGGTCCCTGCTAATGGTCTAGCAAAAGCAGAGGATGGCCTAAGGGTTTGAGCCCCTGCCACCTATGTGGGAGAGCTAGATGGCTATTGGGGCCATCTAGGGGGTGAACCAGAGGATGGAAAGCAAGTCTCTCTCTCTGTCTCTTTCTTCTCTCTCTGTCTCTCTCACTTTCAAAATAAACAAATCTTCTAAAAAAAGAAAAGAAAGTTTGTCTTGGCATGAGTCTTCCAAAAGGACTTCAGTTATGTCCTTCAGTCTTACAAAAGAATAAAATAGGAGTTCAAGTTTGTGTTAAATAGTTCAATGCCATACAACTATGTAATCAGAAGATGATAGTATGCCAAATTGCCTCAACAGTGTTCACATATTTCTTATAGTTTATTTTTTATGTTAATGTGATATTAATACAAAGAGAACAGATTCAATGTAGTCCATAGATACATTGTAGGAATATAATGATGTACCCATCCTCAACCCTTCAGTGCTTGATTTTATTTAATGAACGCATTTTTTTAAGGTACAATGTTAGGAATATAGTAGTTCTTTCCCTCATACCCACCCTCCCACCTGACTCTCATTCCACCTCCTGCTCCCTTCTTCATTATGGTTTATTTTTAGTTTGCTTTTTTTTTTTTTTTTTGACAGGCAGAGAGACAGAGAGAAAGGTCTTCTTTCCATTGGTTCATGCCCCAAATTGCTGCTATAGCCAGCGCGCTGCACCAATCTGAAGCCAGGAGCCAGGTGCTTCCTCCTGGTCTCCCATGTGTGTTGCAGGGCCTAAGCACCTGGGCCATCCTCCACTGATTTCCTTGGCCACAGGAGATAGCTGGACTGGAAGAGGAGCAACCAGGACAGAACCGGTGCCCCAACCAGGACTAGAACCTGGAGTGCCAGCACCGCAAGCAGAGGATTAGCCTAGTGAGCCGCGGTGCCGGCCTTTAGTTTGCTTTTACATACAGAAGACATAGTACATATTTCAACAGTATGCACCACACATGCACACACAACATATAGAGTATAATTTGAGGACACGATTTGCAGTTTATTCTTATAGTAGAACTCATAAGGACAGAGATCCTACATGGGGAGTAAGTACACAGTGATTTCTTTTATTTCATAGGCTCACGCATACACTATTTTCCTCTAAGTACAACACTTGTTAACAACAATGAATAATTTAGCCTTGTTCTCATCTCATTGAATTCCCATTTTCCCCTAACATGATACTGTATTTTCTTTCAGGGAAGTTTGTCAGAGGTAGGAGTAGTATAATTGAATATCTACTTGATTCAGGTCTAGTGATTATGCTATAGTGCTCAAGGTTAACCCACAGCAGAACAACATGAACACTTTTCATGTTCTGTGCATTTTCTTTCTCTAGTGTGAAAAAAATCCTGTGTATCATCCTTTTTGGAAGGAGGAAATATTTCTTGAATGTCAGAAAAAAAAAAAAACAAAAAAGAATCCACTCCAACTGCAAAGAAATAACAGGCAAGTGAGCTAATGAGCAGTCTTGTTGAGAGTGGGGTTACTTCCCTTACCCAAAGCAAGAAGTAAATGGAAACAAGAAGCAGCATGAATATCCTTGTTCATCAGCAGAGCACCACAGGACCTGACTGTCACACAGAATAAACTGTGACTAAGCTCAATTTTATGTATAAAATAGCTCTAGCCTGGGGAATTGGAGAATCAACTGAGTCCTGCAGTCACAAGGCAGAGGGCTGACTTCACATTCATGTCATGCTGCACCCTTCCTAGTCAACTATCTTTTGTCCCCTTAACCACAGAACAACAGCTAGGCTTACCTCTTCAGGTGCATAGGTGCCAAGACCAAGTGCAGGAATGAAGTGACCATCATTTAATGCCATACGCTGATGCTTGGGATCCATGGCCTTTCACTCTTCTGGCCAAGCACACTCTGCTTATTACTTCTGCCTTCAGAGGAATAACAGGAAATCAATGCCCCACTGCCTATATAAATGTCTATGACATGTGGGAGGAGTGAAGTTAAAGCAGTACTCCACATTTAAATAGAGACTTGGAACCAGGTCAATGATTTATATGAAACTAAACATCTTATCACTGACAAATAAACCATTACATTTAGTAAATTTTCCCTTCATAATCTCTTACATGTTGTAAAGTATTGCAAAACATTAATCAAATGACTATTGACTTCAGACTACAAACATCCAGGCACCCACTGTTTTGTTTGTTTTATTTTTGTCTTGATGAAATCCCTTCTAATCATGTATCCTTTGAAGCAATTAGCTTTCTTATACTACACACACACACACACACACACACCTCACATACAGAGAATTAAACGATTAATGAGCAATTTTTCCAACATAGGCTGTCAATGAAAGACCACAAGTTAAATCTGAGGAGTTCACAGCAAAATGATTGCTGAGTAAGATGCTCCAGTGATTGTCTCCTAGAGACATGATTTGAATAGCTATTCACCCACAAACCCACCCCACCAAGAGCTAAGGAAGCCAGTATTGCACTGACAGAACAGCACAGAGACTCCTCAATCCAGCAGAGAGAGAAGACATAAACACCGTCCTGGCCACTGGCACCAGCAGATACAGGCCTTAGCTCACCTCCTTTTGTCTGCGAATGCCGTATTAAATGGAAAAAGGGCAAAGAGGTGTTTCACCTCCTGCCAGCAATACAGACCAGCAGCCCTGAAGTGGGAAAATTCCACAGTTCTCACTGGTTTTAAGTCCAGCCCTCAAACACATGCCTGCATTCTCGCAGGGCAAACTGAGCTCTAAGGTTCCAACAGGGCACCAGCAATCACAAAGCCCAGGACCATACATGGCTTGCCACTGTGACAGGAGGGGAGCAGAGCAGCTTGGAAACACAGCTCCTAGGAATTGCAAATAAATAGAATTGGGGATCATACTCTTCCCCATGGCCTCCCCTCCTTCCCCAGTCACTTGAAAAACTGCAGATTGTGGCTTTGTTCCTGTGCACCCATCCAGCCTGACTATAGATGCTCAGAGCTCACTACACACTGGGGATGAATCTCACAGAAGACTGGAAGAGCACAATACAGTGTGAGTTAGTGCTTACATCTGGGTGGGTGAAGGGACTCAGAACACACCAGTCAGCTCCAACATCCCCTGCCTCCACTGATAGTAGCTGGAGTTACTCCATGACTCCTGTGTCAGCTACCCCTCTGAACACTTGCTCCACCCATGAACTCTGGCTGGATCTCCCTGGCCCTACCTGGGCACATCTGATAGGAACTCCCAAGTATGCCCTTTGTTCTGAGCCTAAACTACACACAGAGAGTAACTCAAGGCAGTTTATTTCCTGTTATAAAGCCAAAGTCACTCTCCAGTATATAGCCATTCCCTTGGACAGGATCTGTGGGTCCCACAACACAACTTGCAGTCAGCATTAAGGTGACCCTTGGAGCTCTGGAAACACATAAAAGTGAACGTCTGAGCCTCAATTCTGTCTCTCAAAAACATTTTTGGAAAGTGGCCTTTTATCTGCAGATATTGTTATAAATAATCTGTTGAGGGATGGAGTTGTGGCATAGTAGGTTAAGCTGCAGCCTACTATGCCAGATCCTATATGGAAATGCTGGTTGAATCCCAGAAGCTCTACTTTCAATCCAGCTCCCTGCTAATACATCTGGCAAAGTAGTGTAGAATGGCCTGAGTGCTTGGGCCCCTGAACCCACATGGGAGGCAATGAAGAATTCCTGGCTCCTGACTGTGCCCTGGCCCAGCCCCAAAAGTCATGGTCATTTAGAGAGTGAACCAACAGATGGAAGATATCTGTGTGTGTGTATGTGTGTGATGTGTGTGTGTTTGTGTGTGTGTGTCTGCCTGTCTCTGTCTCTTCCTGTCTCTCTCTCTTTCCAGTAAATAAAATAAATCTTGAAAAAAGAAGACCTTACTTATATTCCTAAGAGAAGATGTGCTCAAATCCTTTTTCCTCTGTCTTCCTCATAGTTGACTCCTCAGCCCTCTTCCTGAGCCAAACCCCTCAGTATCCCAATTCCTGTGATTTAACATCCTCCAAGGAGACATAATAGCCTAAGATCTTAGCCAGCATTGCTTGAAGGGATTGCCTGTACTGTTGGTCTTCCTTGGTTATTGCCTTGGCTCCTGTGTCTATGCAGTGAATCTCCTGTTGCTGGCAGCACTGGAGAAACAACGACTGAAAAATCTTTTCCTACTCTCCTCCAGGCTGACAACTTTTCCCAGCCATTGCCAACCCCAACCAAACATGCAGAATTAGAAACATATTCCTCTCACTTACCTACATCTTTCAATAATGCAAAGTGCTATCTTATACGAAATTCTCAAAGAAAATAGAAATGTGTTTTGTCAGTTTTTGAACAATAACATGCCGTTATACTATTCAATACTAAAACAGCATTTAGGTTACTTCAAGTCATTTGATATGATTTTTTAATCCTTTAATTATTAACCCATGACACAGCATAATATATCAGATTAGGAAATGGAGAGAATGTCACGGATAAATAGAGTTCATTGTCCAAAGATTTCCTCCATAATTTGTGTAGCTCTGTATTTCATAACTACTGTAAATATAAAGTGATAATAATGAATAGTTACTAAAGTATTTAAAGATAGTAGAAATTATTTTTTGCTTGGTTGTCTATCTGCATTATTTCTCTGCTGCATTCTGCTTTTTCCTCTATACTAATAAAACATTAGCAATTATAGCCTATCAATTTTGAATAATGTATATATTTATATTATACTAATCTTTAATACATTATCATATTTGCTTGTATCATGAATTAAAAATCTCACAGGTAGAGGGATAGATAATCCTTGTTACTCTCATTTTATTTGTTTGCTTAGATTCTTTAACCTAAGAGCACAGAAGAAGAGCAAAGACCTTAGGCTGGCTGTAAATTCTCTCCCATTTGTGAAATTTCTGACTAAATGTTCATTCTTTGGATTTAAATCTACTTTTAAGACTTCATCTTCTGCATCGAGATCATTATTTTTCAGAAAATCATAGCTAATTGTTTCTAGTGCCTCTTCTACAACCAAACCTTTTCAAGGTAAATGCAGTGTTTTAGTTGTTAATATCAATGAAAAGGAAAGGAGACTAATCCACTGCTGGTGGTAATGTAAACCACTGCTGGTGGTTCAGCCACTGTGGAAGACAGTATGGAGATACCTTAGTAATTTTCCACTATTCCGTTATTAGTCCATTATTGGTGGTGAAGTATCTAAATTCATTATTATTATTAGTCCATTGCTAGTGGTGAAGTATCTAAGTTCACCACTAATTAAATTTTACCCTGTTGTGGTACCACTCCTTCATCTATTTCCTTTCCCCCAGAAAATGTTCCTATAAATAAACTTTCAAGACCTCTGAAATCAATGCTAATCTGTTAATTATTAACTCATTATTATTAACTCATAATTATTAACTCAGTTTGATTCAATAATGAAACTTAAACCATGTGGGAGAGTAAATTTAACCACAGGAGATGCTTTCTCAGGTGTGCTGGGCTTTTTAGGCAGGTTTACCACATACTATCAAGAAGTTCTACAAAATATTGCTCATATGTATGAAGACATACTTATGTATGCCTACTAACTTTGGACATATGAAAAGCTGCCAACAATTTTGAGTGTGTGTGAAAAAGCCTGCAAGCTTTGCATCAATGCCTTCAAATGTTCTGAATGTTTCAATGGGATTATGATAAAATAAAACTTGGAGAAAAATGAATATTGAAAGCCGTAATAATTTTGTCTTTTATTTGAAAATCCAACTGCCTGAGGTTGACGTTGGATACCCCAATGGGCTTGGGCAATCCTGCATCCTTGACCTTTTCCATGGCCAAGGGGGAACTATTGTGAAGAAATATTCTACCATTGGCTAGAATAATATAAAAGAATGATAACACAGTTAAATGGAAAACTAATATTGAAAGCCATATAATTTTATATTTTATTTAAAAATCAGAGTGCTACAACATTAATTACCAAAATCATGTTTTATTATATAGTTTTTTATGATTCATTTGTACTTCTTCAAAGACAGAGTTACAGAGAAGAAAGGAGAGGAAAAGATGGAGAGATAAATCTTCTATCCTCTGGTTCACTCTCCAGAAGACTGCAATGGCCAGCAGCAGGTCAGGCTGAAGCCAGGAGCTTCATTTTTGTCCTTGATATGGGTGACAGAGGTCAAATATTTGTTCATTTTCTGCTGCTTTTCCCAGGCCATTAGCAGGCAGCTGGATCAGAAGTGGAGCATCCGGTTTTGTAACAACATCCACATGTGATGCCGGCATCTCACAAGGTAGCTTAACATGCTATGCCACGATATTGGCTGTATGTTCACAACCCAAAGATCTGTACTGGGTTGTGACAACTGCAAATTGTTAGATAAAACACAACACCACGCACCGACACATGTTGATTTGATGAGAGACAGCAGGGAGGAGACGCAGACTAAAGTGGGCTAATAGACAAGACCTGCTTAAGTTTTCCTAAAATTTCATGAGTGTTGATGTTGCTCACCATACTATCATCATAATTCGATAACTTGCTCCCTCCTCCCCAGATTATTATCATAGTCTCCAGCTAAGTTTTTGTGTATCTAGCTCTCTGTTCAAGACACCTAAAATCAGAGATGCAAAGAGGAAAAGACTCAGGTATGAACACCACACAAACCTTTACCACCTCTCTCTTCCCGTCTCACATGTCTTTATGAACTGCCCATTAGAGATTTTCATGGACTTCTTCCCTGTAAATGGTGCTTCTGCATTACCTTAGCAGTCAATATTCAGGTATCCTGCAATGGATCTTTCTTTAACAAGGAAGAATTCCATTTTCACCCTGAGGTTTATTTCTGACTGCTGCGTTACACACATTTCAGCACAAAAATGTCCTCAACTTTTCACTGAGACTTTTATAAGCATAGATACAATGCAGGCCCTCCCTGCCCTTTCACATAGAGGCTAACACTGTAAAATCTTCATTTCACAAAG